AAAGAGCCTACTCGAGTGAAAAGGATGTCCCCGAGGAGTCATGGGTCAAGAGGACATCCTTTGACAATTGTTTGTTTATCAAGAAGTTATCAGACGAAACTTCATAATTTTTTAACTATATGTTAATGACATGTTGATTATCGATCATGACATTTGCAAGATTAACATGTTGAAAGAAGAGTTGACCAATACCTTTGCCATGAAGGACTTTAGAAGCATAGAAGTATTGACTTTTAGATCAAGCTATGTGAGATAGGTGTTACAAAAGAAAGCCTCACGTGAGAGGTTCTAGGCTTCTTCTAAAATAGAGATCATTATGTGGGCCCACATGATATGATATAACATTAAATAAGGTGGTCAAAGATTCCATCATTATCTATCTTAGAGAGAGAAAGCAAATTATAAAAAGACTCTCATGTGGGGCATTGTTCTCTTGGTGGGTTTAACCAAAGCCTCTTCGTATTGGTTGGAACTTCTCCATTGTAGAGAGAAGAAAATACAATGATCCTTCTTTTGTAGAGAAGAAGAAGAGTGTGAGAAAAACCTATTAGAGAGAGCAAGAGATAATTTTTTCTTTTAGAGAGAGATAAAACCTCTAGAAAAGAAAAGAAGCCTTTGAGATAGAGAAGAACCCCAGAGAAGAAAAACCTAGAGAGAGAAAACCCGCCAGAAAAAATCAAAGAGCCCAAGAAAACTTTCTTCTTAGAAAAACTTTGAAACCATTATTTTATTAGTGGATCTATCTCATTCTCCGGTAGACGTAACCTGAATAGATGAACTACATACATCTCAGTATCAGTAAGTTATTTATTGTATTTGTTTTATTGCATGCTTTCCCACTCATAATCACATGCACATCATTTTTGGTATCTTTGTGTCCCATAAATATGGGTTTTGTTGCACGCATCCACATTCGTGCAAGAGAGCTCAAATGGGTAAGCCCAACAATATAAAGGGGGCCCATTGGAGATATAAGTCTATTAGAATGCATATGGACGTTGTATGACACTTTGAAGACGTTGTATGACACTGCAAGATTTACTCTTAGTTCTCCTTTTAAAGACCATTTAGATAGTTCACCTAAAATGGTTGATTGGATTACGATTTCTTAACCAACCTACTTGATATTATTGATGCATTGCACCTAAGCCCCTCCATCCATTATGAACGAAAATTGTATATGGAATAACCCACCTACCTTACTCAAATTCATGAAGTTTCATGCTTATATGCTTTTACTAGTCCGAAAACTTGTGAACCTTGGCATTAAATTGGTGGGATTAATTGGAGAGAATAAGATAGTGCTGCTTAGCATCATCAATTCACATCATTACAAGATTTAAAATATGTTTGGATATACTAAAATACCCATGTACATTAGACATCTATACTTTTTAAGTATATTTTAGAGTCAAAAGACTCATTCATGGATAAGTTCCATTTATTAAAATAACTATATGCATTTGATCTCTCTAATTTGTTTCATATGCTAAGAAAATTTGGAAGTAGAAAGTTTCCAATGAGTTTTTAATGAGAATTCGGTATTATTCATGCTTCTGCCTTAGAGAGTATGCATGTATCAATAGGAAAGCAAATTCCATGCTTATATAGCTTGATTTTATAAACAAGGTAATAGCAAGGGTTGATATTCATTCTAGGAGCATGTCCTTTTAATAATGGCAAATCACCTAAAAAGTAAAAGTATCTTACAAGTGAGATGTGATGTGAGGAACTCCATTATAACTTAAGGATCTTCATATTGCAGTTTTGTTCTTTTTGGTTCATTAGTATTATTCCAAGAGAATAATAGCTAATATGCACTACATTAATTAGAGGTAAAGCTATGATAACCTTATATTGCATAACACTGCCTATATGGAAGCAGTCACCATTTGATTTGAGATATCTTAAGGTCTCATAATCATCATCATCCAAGTCTTATCCTAATTATTTGGGGTCCGTTACATCCTAATATATATGGGAATTTAAACTTTGAAACCACCAAAGTAGTCTAAGAAAACAGCAGCGCACTGCAATGATTAAATTGCATTCGACAGGAACATAGGTCTGCCAAAATCCCAAAACTCCCATAAAAAGTGATCTTTTGAACTTGCGTTGCCTATCTAAACCATAGATATCGGGAGCCGGAGCAAGAACGGCTCCAAGGTTGTCAACGGGAACATCGGATCGTTGGCTGCCCAAAGTTCAGGATCTCGGGAAGCAAGTTTCGATGAGGGTAAAAGTAGCAGAACGAGATTCCATATGAAAGCAGAGCACGATCCCCACACGACTTAATGGGGATGCGGTCTACATATAATGGGATCGTTTTCCCATATGCAATAGGATCGCGTTTCCATCCAGTATAGAAACAATATTCTATTAGAAATTAAATCACATTCTTATTTTGAAAGGATTGAACTCCATTCAAGGATATATTGCATTCCCTGCAAGATTGGTCCGCTCTCCCATCACAGAACTTTACTTGTATCAAGAACCCAAGCCCATTGCATGTGGATTTATATGCCCACTGATCACTACAGCCCGTTCCCACATAAACGAGATCTCCTTGTAGTTTATTCTAGAAGTAAGGATGAAGTTCTGTATAAACAGGGATCGTGCTCCCACATTTTGGGGTTTGATGACCTTATTTATTCAAGAATGGGATCTATAATCTTCATGAATGTGCATTGTGGTATGTGGGGTCAAGATCCTTTTGTTCATCAGAGCGTGGCCCCAAAATAAAAAACTTGCATTCCAAATTAGATTCCGATTATGGAATGCTGGAGCTAGATTATAGAGCCAGAGCGCCACCCTATTGGGGCGCTTTCAGTAACTATGATCAAACATACACACAAGTATTACAACTATGTGAGCCACATACATGTATCTATAGACCAATTTATTTGCCCCACCCAATAGTCCTATGCTGCTCAAAGTTCCGACTCTCGAGGGGAGAGTTTTGGTGAGGATAAAACTAGCACAACAAGATCCCATATGAAGGCGGAGCGCATTCCCAACACAACTTAATGGGGACACAATCTATATACAATGGGAACGTGTTCTCATATACAATAGGATCACCCTCCCATTTGGAATAGAAACTAGATCCCATTTGAAGTTGAATCACATTCCTATTTTGAAAGGATTGAACTCCATTCAATGACAGATCACATTCCCTACAAGATTGGTCCATGCTTCCATCACAGAACTCCACTAGTATCAAGAACCCAACCCCATTACATATGGATTCATGTTCCTACCAAGCACTGCAGCCCGTTCCCACATAAACGAGATCTCGTTTTGGTTTATTTTAGAGCTCATTGGTCACTGCTCGATAAGGATGGAATTTCGTGTAAATAGGGATCGCGCCCAAATTTCGAGATTCAAGGACCTTATTTATTCGGGAGTAGAATCTACAATCTTCACGAGCGTCCACTGTGGTATGGGGGGTCGAGATCCATTTGTTTATCAGAGCGAGTACCCTATAAAATGGGAATGAGATTCCGAAATAAAAAAATCGTGTTTTGAGCGAGATCCCAGTTATGGAACGCCAGAACTGGATTCTAGAGACAGAGCGCCACCCTGTTGGGGCACTCCCAGTAACTATGATTCAAACATGCACACAGGTATTACAACTGGGTGAGCCACATACCTGTATCTATAGATTAATTTTTTTGCCCCACCCAAAAAGTCCTATATTCCCTAAGGTTTGTGATATGAGAGAGATCATATTTGTTACCTTTCGTGTGTGAAGAGAGAGACTCTTTTTCTAATTTTTGGGTAATTGAGTGGGGAATACAAGTCCTTACCCATTTTTTGAAATGGGTAGTGGTTTTTTAAGCTGTCAGTAGGATTGGAAGCCACAACATGCAACTAAAGTATAGAAAGTACTACCACCACGACCCCAACTCCTTTCCCGAGAGAGACTCTAGTCCCGTTGTTTTCCACTTGCCATCACACTCGGTGCATGAAATAGGAAACCTTTCTTCTTCCTTTTTTTCATTTTTATTTAATTTTTTTTTTGGTGGGAACTATGCATGGATCGGATATTTAAATCAAAATAGCTTCTTATCATACAAAAACATTCTACATTTCCAAGGCCTATTTCATTCGGTTATGAGAAACGTACCCATCACGTAGAATCTCAGTCTCAAGATTGATCCATCACTTATTCCCTATCCCACTGGTGCTTTTCCCTAAAAAGCCAAAAGTCCAAAATAAGGAAGCCTTATTCTACCCCAAACCAACAGAGAAAATAGCCTCTCCAATTTTGACAAGCCCAATTTTTAATGCCTCCTTTGGGGCCTGCAGGAGTGCAACATCTCTCTCTTCTGACAACAACTATTATTTAGTTAAATTATTTAGTACACAATGAGATTCATTCTCAAACCCTTGGACTTAGTCATCTTTCTCTCTCTAGTGATTGATGGCCTTAAAACTAGTGACCCATGTGAAAAATACCCATACCTTGCACCATCAGTCCCTTTTGGGCTTTCTCAGAGGTCCATGACTGTGGAATCTCCGACAGTCTAGTTACACAATGGCAGTGACCCAACATCAAATAAAATAAGAATTAGAGAGAGAGTATACATAAATGGGTGTAGAGAGAGAGAGGAAAGAGATAGTATATTTAAATGTTTAGTTGAGCTTTGATGGTGCATAAAAAACAAAGAACTTTGGGCAGCCTTACACGACAAGAAAGAAGATAGATTTGGCAGTAAAGAATTGGGAAAAGGAAAAAAGAAAGAAAAGCAACAGAATCAACAGGAGAATACTAATGGAACTGAACCAATCACTTCTATGGATTTTGCAATACTCAAAAAGTTATGCTGTGAAATTCTCTTTCATTTTCTAGAGCCCCAATAAAAAGAACACCTCCCACCAGATTCTAGAATGAGAATTGAGAGGCAAGCTTCTTCCATGGTGTATTTAATTCATAGACCAGGCCATGATATCACCAAACCCAGATTCTCTTAATATTCAATCATCCGACACAAGACAAAAGGAGAAATTTATATCATAAATTTGCTCAAAGATCTGAAATTTTCCATTATTCTTGATTGATATCTATGTCCCATGGGGATAAAATAATATACAAGTCCCTCAACTTGTTGAAAAACTCAACCTGTAAATATACCCAAGCACTGAAACATTCCCCTTCTTCTCCTTGACTCACCTATTCTGCAATCTAACAATATTTTACAATAGGGCCACTACTTGTTTCCATGATAGAAGCAGCCCAGTAACCATATGGTTGCTCTAACCAATCCCTATCCCAACAATCAACTATACATAAACTCTTAACACTTTCTAACATATGGGTCTAACTCATCATTTACTGTTACATCTTGCTAAGACAGGTAGAGAGAGAATTCTAAATATAATGCTGCGCAAGTATGTGAGAGAAAGGCAGCATCCTAGAGAGAGAGAGAGAGAGAGAGAGAGAGAAGGAGATTGTATAATGTGCTGACTGATTAATAGAGAGAGAACTCCATTGTTAAAAGAGGGAGAGTAGCAGCGAGAGAATCCTCCTTGTGTAGCTGTGTCACTTCGGCTTTAGGCCACAAAATCAGGGAGCAATTGAGCAGCGAAACGCTTCCTGTTTTGTATGCTGAGATTTTCATAAGGATTTGCAGAATGAGCAGTCGCTGAAGCTGTGTTCATGCTGCAGAAATCATTTGGCTCGCCACCAAGCTCGTGTCGCCTTCCCATTTGCAAATTTGGGTTAGAGAGATATGCCTGTTGAGTTCCAGCTAGAGAAAGAGAGTCACAATGAGGAAGGCCTAGAGTGAGAGAGACTCCATTTCCCGAAAACCTCGGAGCAAATTGTTCATGCCCAAACCGACCTAAATCCCCAATGTGATACGCTGATCCAAATCCACCACCATGATCATCAAGTCCAAAGTCCTCTCTACTCTGCCTACCATCTCCAAATTTAATGTATTCTCCACTGTTTGCCTCCTCTGACTTCAGGTCCACTTCAATAGAGGGCAGGGAGCTTGTGTCATGCAAATTCATGGAAATCTTCTCCCTCATCAACTTCTTGGGCGGCCCCTGTTCGAGAGCTTCTCTCTCATGGAGGTCTTGTGGGCCTGGGGATTTGATTAAGCTAAAACCTGATGTGGAAGAGGACTTAAATTCGTTGTTGGCATCCTGCTTGGGTATGAGAAGATGATTGTTTTGCTCAGTTGGGTTGTTTTCTTGATGGCCAGACTTCATTGAAGAGTCGTCATTAATCTCACTTTTGCTAGTTTTCTCATCGGATCCCTTGTCCTGTTCTTGTTCTCTCATTTCCTCCATATACATCTCTTCAACCATGGGTTTCCAAAGCCTCACCCTTGCATTTATGAACCAGTTGGAGACCTGAACCAGTAGGCCCACGATTCAGCAAATTAATGTCTTTTGTTTGTTTCACTTTGTAGAGAGAGAGAGACAGAGACAGATAGAGAGAGAGAGAGTACCTGGCTTCGAGTAAGCCCTGTCTGCTTAGCAAGCATGTGCTTATCTGCATCTTTTGGGTATCTGCAACAGCAATCCAAGAGTCTCAATAACAACTCGGAAACCGTTCAAAATTCAAGTAATTCACTTCGGATTTGGTAGAAGCCTTAAAAAAAAACCCACACTAGACTCAGACTAACTTTTATCAAATGCAGAAAAGCTTCAGACTATAATGTGCATATCATCCACATCAACCATTATAAAGAAATAACTCAATTCAGGGGTTATCAAAGAACAGACAATCCTCAAAAAGTACAGCTGAGCAAAGATGGAAATAGCTTTCAAATCTTATCTGATTATAGGAAAAACAAAAAATAGAAAAACATTTGATTCCGAAAAGCAAAGGGCCCAGTCAATTGATTTTTCATCAAACACCAGACTTTATTCAATAGATGAGTCCAAGAGAGAGAAATTGAAGTCGAATCGGATGTCTTATCTCATTCTATGAAAAACAGAAATAGAACTAATTGAATCCAGGAAACCCAAGGCTTAATAATTGCATTCTAAGTAAACACCAGCAATTCTTCAAGATTAACAAGAAAGAGATAGAGAGAGCAGGAGAGAGACTTACGGGTGAAGAAAGTGTTCGAAGAGCCATGCTCGAAGAACAGACACTGATCTCTCTGGCAGACCTCTCTGAGGTCTCCATGCATTGTGTGGGATCATACCAAGTTGCTGTAAAGCCCTTTGTTGTCGCAATTGGTGGTCAACATACCTTAGCCTTGAGCCCTCCCCTCTTCCACCATTAAGGCAGTCCTCCTCCCCTAAAGCCTTACTAGCTGATTTTATTTGTGAAGATATTGCATCTCTAAGGCACCTAAATTGCCTTGATATAGTTTGCAAAGCAAGGGCAGTGTATGTTTTTGCAGCCCCTAATCCAGCTGCCGCCTCAAATGAAGAAACCACTAGGTGCATCTGGTGATGGTATTGTCTGTATCTTTGATCCACCTTCAATAACAGAAAAGGGCAAAAAACATTAGACATATAGAGAGAGAAGATGATAATTGAGAATCACCCATCACACATCCAAAAGAAGCTACCACCAAGAGATAGAGAGAGAGCAGATAATTGATATGAACATATGAAGTTGAATTGCTCTCGGACGATAAGAGCAGATACTTGATATGAGCATGGGAAGTTGAGTTGTTCTCTGATGATAACTGTATTTTTTTTATTTCAATTTAGATCATCTGTTTTATTTTACTCCTGACTCAGCTACAGAATTGATGTATCTTGATGCAAGAATTGAATTTTGTTTTGGAAGTCCGGGATGAGTTTGCCCTAACAGGGTAAAGAAATTGAATCATTGAATTGAAACGCTTGGCCTAGAAATTACATTCTTCACCAGTAAAAATGAACCTAATTTATCATCTGCCACTTGTATGTAATTATTTGTTTCTCTACTTTTTGAGCAAATAGATTCACTAGCTGTGGTCCTAGCTTAAGAATTCATTCAGGTGAAGAACAAGAAAGAACGACATAAAGAAGGAACTCTTTGGTCAAAATCAAGAATTGAATCACAAACATAGCATACCCTAATTTCAGGAACCAAATTGAAGGTCTTTAGCATTACCAGAAACGTGAAATCAAATCCTTTTCCTGTTTTCCTTTTTTCTGAATATTAAATGAATTTTTGGTCTCATATATGTATTTACCTCATCTAACATGGCGACAAGCTTCGCCTTCTTCATCTGAACTTCCTGCCTCTCGACTGTGCTCAATTCGGAACCCTTCTTCCCACTACTCTCTGCTCCTGAACCTTCAACCGCCATCTCTCTACCAATCTTAACTTGGGATTTCTCTCTCTTCCCTGAATCAGTCTTAACTCCCTTCCCTACACTAACAACTTCATCAAGAAGCTCTTGAGCCGCCTTCAAATACTTTGAACCCATCAGAACCCCCTGTAAATTTGACGAAACAGAGTCCACAGTCCCCTGTTTCATGCTCTGAGAGACTCCATGGCCACTTGAATGAAAAGAAAACTGACCATTCGATGGTTGTTGGGATGAAAGGCTCAAAGAGAGAGCCCCCTGTTGTGTTTGATCAGATGCCATGGGACCTCTTCGAATACCCATCTGAGAATTCGTGATTTCCTGAACAGGTTGGTGATGAGAGAGAGAGACAGAACTGTTCATATTTGCGATTTGGGATGGGTTAGTACTGGCCTGAGATTGATCAATTGCTTGGAGAAAGGTGAGTTCATTGCCTGAATTCCTCCATTGATTGTATTGGTGATGGCCTGAAATTCGAGAGGCAAGCAAATTAGGGTTTATGTCAGTCGGGTTTACAGTGAGTACCTGGCGTTGTGGGTCTGGGCCTTGAAGGGGGATTCCTATGAAATGCTGGGGTTGTTGGTTTGGGTTTTGAGAGAGATTGGTACCAATTGTTAATGGATTTCCATTAACATGGTTTAAGAGCACCATGTTTCCTGGATTTGCAGAGGGTGTGGCCTCTGCATAGCCGACATATCCAGGGTTCATGAGATAGAGGGTTTGGAGATTATCAGGTTGTATCTCAGTTCCTGGATAGTAGGTCGCCATGGCTTGTTTCTCTCCCTTCTTCTGAGTCTCTTTCTTCTTCTAATTCTACTTTTCCTTCTCTCTTTTCAGCTGCTTCTCTCTTCTCCTGCTTCTCTTTCTTCTGAATCTCTTTCTCTCTATCAACTCCACTTCTACTCTGATTCTCTCTCTCTTCTTCTTTGACCACTTGAAATGGAATTTGATTGAATTGAGGGTACCAAAATGCTTTTATGAGTACCAAAACTTGGGTTTTGATTTCTTTTTAACTGTACATCCACTAACCAATCAGTACCTGTAGAAATCCACCTCTTTTTTACCTCAAAGAGTTAACAGTGGAGAGAGAAAGTGAAAGTGTGAATTAATTTGTTGATGATTCAGCCCATGCTGGTTGTCGGTTAGGTTTCTCATTCTCAGGCTTTTTCTTCTTTCTTCCTTTTGTTTTGCTAACACTGATACAACTCCATTGCCTGAATAAACCCTCTCTTCCCAATCATCTGCATCATAACTCTGGTCTTCAGAGATCCAAAAGCCTGCAATCATAGAGTACAACTTATTAAAAGGCAACCCCAACTTTAACCTTGTCAACCATCTGAATTCCCAAAGAGATAAACAACTGTGCAAAACCTAGAGAGAGAAAGAGAGAGAGATGGAACTTTTGTACTATCGAAAACTGTATCTTAAACAAAAATCCGCAATACAAGAAACCCATCTCCAACCAAATGAGGGGGACAGATGCAATTCTCACTACTATGAGATGCAATTTTCAGTACTGTGCAAAACCTAGAGATGCAATTTTCAGCAAACCTCATACTATAACCCATATCTACCGATTGAGAGAGAGAGAGATGCAATTTCAGTTCCAAGAAATCCATGAATCAAAGACTCAAAATATCAATTCTCAGTCCATGAGCCCATCTCAGAGAGATGAGTCTGCTTAAAACCTGTATGACAATTATCCTCCCACCTCTAACCAGTCAGCTGAAAGAGAGAAATCGAGAGAAAGAGGTAGCATTTGCCGGTTTAGAAAGAGAACCGAAAACCTAAACTAAAAACAACAAATCCACGAGTCAAACTCACATCTCTACTAAGTTATAACACACAGGAACACCATGTTATCAGTGCTATATAGAGAGAGAGAGAGAGAGAGCATCAAAAGGCGGCGTTCATCCATCTGTGCTGTAAAAAAATTCACTACCTGCACGTGTTGATGAGGCATCTGATGATAGATGGACATTTACTAAGAAACCATAGCCAAGATCTTTGAACTCAGTCCTCAATTATAGTAAAGAATACGACCCTAGCATATAACCTGTCTTTCTCTCAAATTCCTCACCTGTCAGACCCAACTCCTGCAACTCTACAATGAACGAGACGGAGATGGTTAAAAAAAAGCAACACCCCATCTCCTCATTATTGTTATCCAAACTTTTAGAGAGAAAAAGAAGGAAAGCGAGAAATTCTTTAAAAAAAAGAAAGCTTGAAACCTTAGGCCTTTTCAGAAGTGCTTCTTTGCTTGTGTACCTGGGTCCTTGTCCCTGCATCAAAAGCCCTGCGATTTTCAGATTGAATTCTCTGATTTGACCCTCCCCATCATTAGACGCAGGCACGTCTGCTCGTGCCTTCTCACTTCAAAAGAGAGAGAAATCGACGTTCTAGAGAGAGAGTTCTTATAGAAAGAGATAGGGGTGTTGTAGAGAGAGAAAATGATGGAAATTGAGGTCTTTCAACTTCTTATAGTAATATAGAAGAGTTTTAGAGAGAGAGAGAAGATTTTTAGAGAGAGAAAGAAAGTAGAGTTTTAGAGAGAGAAAGAAGATTTTTAGAGAGAGAAAGGAGAGTTTTAGAGAGAAAGAGGGAGGTGTTAAAAACTCGAAAGCATAAAAGGCTAAAGGTTGTCAGAAGAAACAACAACGGAGAGACGAGGAAACGTCTACTTCCAAATAATTATAACAACAACCAGGGTAATTTTTAATTTATTAATAGAACCTGCAAATAATTCTGCATGGTATTGAACCTACAATAATAATAAAAAATAATATTGTGTTTGTTTATATTTTTTCTGCTTTTATTTTGTGTTTCTTTTTTCGGTTAGATGCCGGAAAGGAAAGCAAAGCGATACGAAAGGAATTGGAGTAGAAGAAAGCGAGACAGTCCCCAACAACCGCTGATTTCGGAGTTCCTCCAATTGGGAAATCGACCTTTCCTTGGACTCTTTTTCGTAACTTAGTATCGCTTCTCTCTCTACCATGACATGATGTGTACGTCTTTACATCAGTGCACCAAACCATGGCTCGGCACGCTTAGGCCCGGTAACCCGGCTTAGGTTTCAGTGACCTAGAGTGAGTAGAGTAGAGTAGTTACCTGAGCAACGAGAAGGGGCTAGGACATTGGGAGTCGTACCACGGACCCTTACGATGAACCCTATTCTCACCAAAAAGATAAAAGCCCAAATCCCCCTTTACTTTTTTTTTTTTCTTGTAATCGACTCTATTATTACTAAAAAAAAATAATGCTCAAATCCCCACTGACTTATTTTTCTTTGAGAATGGGGTTGATATTGCATTGGCAGCACCACATGAGAGACCTAGATTTCTATTATCACCGAGGTATTTGAAAACCATTAACTATTCCTAAAATGGGTAGGGGCATGTATTCCCACAAACTACCCCAAAAAAAAGTACTTGGGCAAGCTTATAAGTATTAAAACAATAAAAATATAAAAAAATCTCAAAAAATGATAAATATGTTTAGAGTAAAATTATCCAAAACGCATCTAAGTTAAAAAGGTAGTGAAAACAAATTAGATTTTAAAAAAACAATATGTGACCAAGGATATTTTAAAAATAATCCAAATAAAAAGTATTAAAATCAATATCCATTGCCAAAACACTTTCCAATTTGTCAAAATGTTATCAAAGATAAATAAATAAATAATTACAAATTAATTTTTCATTTTTTTGAATTTTTGATAACTTCTTAAATTTTTTTAAAATAGTAGACTTAATCATCAAAACCAGACAACTGGACAGGTCTGGGTAACCCAACCAGGTCCGACTCAGCCCAGATGATATGCGAATATTGGTCTTGATATTTTCTCTGGATAGAGAGGTGCAGAGATAAATAGATAAAGAGAGAGCGTGTGCGTTTTCAATTAGCTGTAGATTCTCGAATACTGCAAACTTCGGATATAGTAGAACTGTGGAGACCTTGAGAGAGAAATGAGGTTTTGGAGAAAGAAGGGGAGTGAGAAGATGGGTATTTTTGGTGGCTCCCACGTAGGTGCGCTGGAATTGGAATTACATGCCTCAGGGAAATTCTAAATTTCTAAAAATTTGGCCATAATTTTGACCCATGAAACTTTCTTTATCTCTAAAAATCATTTTCTTCTATTTTGATGTGGAAAATGCTTTTCTATCTTTAAAATTATGCTTTTGAAAGGTCGTCGGGTGCGAATTTCCGCACGCCGACGATAAGAGAGTGAAAACAGGTGCTTTCCAACAGGCCCCACATCACGAATAGTGAGGGGCAAAAACCAAACGCTCCCCCGCCCCTATGGGCCCCATTAAACTTTCTTACTCTTGAAATACAACACCAATGGTGGGCACCACTACCACCCCCTTAAAGAGAAACCCACTTTCTGCACGCAATCTCTCTTATCGCCACCACCCCCGTTGCCTGTACCACGCTCCTCGCAATTATGGCCGGGACCGGTGCTGTTACCCCTCCCCCCACCTCTTCTCTCTCCCTCGGCCACCGGCGGCAGCCTCTTTTGCCGGTGGCGTTCGTCATGCCTCACGCAAGCATAGGCCCCGTCCCCGACTCATAGCCGACAGGACGCATCACACATGTATATTGCTGTGCCATGCACATCACTGTGGGTCATACTCATGCATACCAGGGTCGCGGGGTAAAATGGTAAATTTTCTTGCCTTTTCGTCGCGGGAGTAAAGCGGTAATTCCGTTGCAGCTCTTAGACGCCGATCCCGCCGCAGAGGTAAACCTGTAAATTAACACGTCCACGACACCAGTAGTGGGTGCCAAATATAACCTTTCATTTATCTTAATGAATATCGCTCTTTCTGTTAAAAAAAATTAAAAAATCAAAATCGAAATGTTGGGGGGAAAACCTACAAGGTACAACACATTTTTTTGGGGGGTTAAAAGTAAAATAATAAATTTGCCATTACCAGGACACGATTAAGGGTTAAATGGTCAAATTCGTCACAAAAGGCCTAGAGGACACTTATGAGGGGGGTTTCCATCTACAAGCGTCGTAGCTAGCAACTTTGAAAGCGGATGTGGCTTAATTGGGTCCAAATATTAAGAGAGAGAGAGAGAGATAGCAACTCTAGAGAGAAAAAGAGAGCAACTATGGGTGCTGGGTTTTTATGAAGGGCAGACAACGGAGTTTATATGGGAGTTGGGTGTGACACATGCTTGAGGCCACTTAAACGGTGCTCATTAATTTAAAGGAAAGCTCCTCTTTCTTGTGTGTGTGTATCCGTTTTGGGTTTTCCCTTTAGGGTTCGGTTATTCTACTTCTAGTGTAGTTGTGAACATGGGGTAACACCGAAATCAACTGAAATTGACCCTAGTTTCATATGAACGAGAAAGAGCAGGGGGGAAGAACTCCCAATAAATTTGTCCCCAATCTACTAAATTTCGCATAAAGCAAACCAACAATTAATAAGGAGTTGGTGAAATCCCCATGATATTTCTCCACATGTGACGATTAGTTGCCATGGCCCATCTACGTAGCCTTGGTCCAAGATCGATTCCGTTTAAAAGCATAGTTATCAAGAATTCATGACTGGATCAGTTTGATAGCTTACCAGTTAGACATGCGATGATTTTTTGGTTGGTCTAGTCTAGAGTAAAATCAGATTTGGTAAAACGCCAGTTAAAATCTGTATTTGACTGATTTTGGTCCGTCTCATCGATTCGATTGGCCAAACAAAGTGAGCAACTTTTTTTTTAAGGACCTCATTTCTATACGGCCAAGCCTGCATATATACAAATGCAGTCCTATTAATAAATCTATTTTGTAGATGGATTTTTGGACTTAATTTTTGAGGACATGTAATCTCTATGAATATGAAAAAATAAATAAAATTTAAATGAAAAAATAAATAAAATTTAAAAACTAAAAATAATAATTTTAGTAGGAAAACATTTGGACAGTTAGTTTCTATTGTTTTTAGATGGAACACCTACTTGCATCCATCTTTATGATGAATGTTTTGCACTTTTTTTATCGCATGTGTAGTAGTCATGCGGTGCAGCTCGCATGAAACAATTTTCCTTTTTATAATACATTACATATTTTAAATTATTATTTATTTTTTAATATTTTTACAAGTCGATCAAAGTAGTTCTATTAACTATCGAACTGGTTTTGACTGGACTAAATCCCTCTTAAATAGCTCCTGTCGAATTAATTTCACTAGACTAAATCCCTCTCAAGTAGCTCGAGCAATCTTGATAACACGGTCTAAAAGTAGCCCAAATGGATCAAATGCCCTCTTATTTTGACAATCAACCGAGTCACCTAGAAAACAAAACCAACAAATTAGCAACGAAAGTACTGAATTCTCACACATAAAATGGCAGGAGTACCAAAATGTCATGCAACAATGGCGAAAATTGAACTTAAAGAATAAAAAATACATGGAGCGAACAAACATGGGATACATATTATCTTAAATGTTCATTGCTAAAGAGTGATGGCAGACGCCATGGACATGTCTTCAAGCTGAACAGATCTAAAGGCAAAGCCATTACTATTTCATACTAATGTACCGCTGCATGTATCTTAGTATCGTATAAACTACTTACCTAAGGGAGTATCACTCCTTACTAACAAGCAGTGTTCCGGGACTTGGCTGAATCCACTCAAACTCGGTCTAGCGAGGTCCAGTTCTTGGCGAGTGAGGTGTTCAACTCGCTAGGCCCAAATAAATGTTAACAAATATATAAAAATACATAACAATAATAAAAAAAAAAAACTAGCATAATGGTTAGATATATTTCTTTAGAAGATTTTGTTAGGTTTCTTGGATACCTTTAATATTTTCCTTTTTTAAAAAATTTTCTAAAATATTTAAGTTATATCGCCACTTTTTCAATGATCCATCTTTTATAGTTTTTTTTTTCATCTTCCTTTGAACGTTTTTCTATTTTTTAAATATTCTTTACCTTTTTTATAAAAAAAAATCACATCTTAATTTAAAAATATATAATATATTACAAAAACTTTGTCAAAACTTTTTCAGCTTATCTAATAGATAGAAACCAATCAACCAAGTAGGCAAAACCAATCATACATTAATGTGCAGTGACCCTTAGCAAGACCCTATAGCAAAACCCTACAGCAGGCCAATGTATCGATCAATATGATCTTACTCGTTACACTGATTGGTCCAGACAATAGTTAGTAAATCGGGGAATAACAATATATTGGTCAACCAGAATATCATTGATAAATTGATTTGGCTCCAAAAAGTCGGAGGCAAAAAAGCGGATAAAAAATAATAATCACCAACGATAAGGTAAGTTAGAAAATCATGAATATTTCAGATTTTTTTCAAAAAATGGATTAAAAAAATTGGATATATGTAAAGAGAACTCAATATAATACTATGAATTGTAGTTAATGTATAGATCCATTAAAACTATCGAACTACGAGTTTTATGCTATTGCCTTATATCAATAAAGCCATATTTAACAAATTATTTTTCTAAACTTTTAATAAACACAACAGCTTGTTGTTGTCATGACACAAAACATAAGATAGATTTATTTGGAACATATATTGAAACAACAACAATAGGAACACT